GCAGCAACTCAATGCATTTAGGCATGTTGACATGAATGAGATGATCTGCTGAAGCTCAAACTGGGCATCAGAATGGAAAAGAAAGTTGATCTAAGTGACTTTGAATGTGGTGTGGTTGTTGGTGCCAGATGGGCTGCTGATCTACTGGGATTTTCCACACAACCATCACCTTTTTAGAGTTTATAGAGAATGGTCTGAAAAAGGGAAAATATCAGTGAGCAGCAGTGAAAACGTGTTGTTGATGCCTGAGGTCAGAAGATAACAGTTAGACTGCTTTGAGCTGAAAGGAAGGCAACCACACATCAAAATCAAGGTATGCAGAAGAGCATCTCAGCTACAGCAGCAGAAGACCACACCAGGTGCTACTCCTGTCAGCTAAGAACAGAATAATTAGGCTACAGTTCACACAAGATCATTAGAATTGGACAACAGAAGATTGGAATAAACTTGCCCGGTCTGGTGAGTCTTGATTTATGCTGCAACTTTTAGATATAGAGTCAGAATTTGGCATAAAGAACATGAAACCATGGATCTATCCGTATATGGTGACAGTGTACCCATTTTCTGATAGTTAATACCAGCTACAAGCTCGGCTAATCTCAAACTTTATTTCTTGAACATAATATGAGGTCACTGTACTCAGATGACCTCCACAGTACCCAGATCTCAATCCAGTAGAGGATCTTTGGGATGTGGTGGAAGAGAAGACTCACATCATGGATGTGAAGCCCAGAAATCTGCAGCAACTGTGTGATGCTAGCATTTCAAGATGGAGCGAAATCTGTGTGGAAGGTTTCCAGAACATGCAGTATTAGTACGGTGTAACTAATAAAGTGATAATGGATATTTCCTAAAATTAAAGCCTTCCTCCCTGAAGAAAGAAAAGAGTGAGAAAGAAATGAACACACCTTCTGACTGAAACAAACAAACATACAATTAAAGACAACATAGTGCTCAGTAATGTGCATCTCAAAGTGGGTTATGAGGTCAAACACAACAGTCTGGCAAGTCTTGGAGAAGAAGATTTAGGAGGTTCAGGATATTTTGTTTAATAGTGTTTGTGCAGAATAATAGATTCTGCTGATTAATTGAGCAGAAAGGACAACGGAAAAAATGATCTTGACTTGGACATAGAGACTCCAATCTTACAAAATCATATTTAAACCAAGGTTGAAGTAACCTCAGTTCTGAATTCAAGTCAAGAAATCTCAAGTTTCCACACCAATAAATTCTTAAAATTAATGAGTAAGTGTAAAGATGTGCGCTGTGCATTAAAATACTGCATTGCAGCTGTAATTGAACCTCTGCCATTTGCAGTGTTATCACTCTTTAACATTCAGTCAAACAACACATGCGAGCTGCTGCACATGCCAAGGGCTAAAACTCTGTAATCCTTACACCACTACCCCCTCTTTTTTAAGGGTACAAATGGTAAAATCAGGGTAAAGATAACCCGACTTATCCACCATCTATAGATCTCTCCCTCTCTCTGCCAGTTCTCTATGATAACCCTATTAAAATATTTCCTCTGGCAAATCCCTGAAAAATAAATCCTCTTTTTTTTTTTAAGAAAAGGGGGGCAGGAGGGATGGTTTGTCTGTCACATGGAGAAATACAGTTGCCTTGGCAACCCCTTATGGTTTTACACTGCAGCCTGGCATTGCAGAGCGACTGGCTAGGATAAGTTTACAGGGAACATTTTGCGCTGAAGGAGGGTGTCAGCAGTTTGGAAACTGACTTGAAGGAAGTGCACACTGAAGGGACGTGTCAAATGGATCTGGTGGCTAAGATTGATCCAATGCAAAGACCCACTCCCACTTCAAAAACAGACATTAGTCACACAGGATTTTTTAAATTGATTTAGATCAGAGAACGAGGGAACGGATACATCGTACAAGGGAAACTAAACATTTCCTTCACAGGTGCACTAAATCTGAATAACAGATTTTTATAAAAGATCACAGTGTGGGACTAAATAATCGTGAGCTATATTTATAGTTTTATTAGCCTGTGTCAGCTTCAAAGAGATTGACAGCTCTCAGTGACTGTTTCCAACAGATAGGAAAGGAATTCAGTAAGCTGCTTCCCCCCTGTGGACAGTGGGCACCACAACACAACACAATCATCACACTTACCCAGCAGAGGAAGCAGGTGTCAAGTATCCAAACAGGCTGGTGGCTTCATGTATGAAATTCAAGGAACCTTTCAACTTCTTGCATGGATTTACGGTGAGATTGAAATGCTATAAAGAGAACAGTTATTAAGCCTTAAACCTTCTTTACTTTCTTGCCCACATGAAAAGCAAACAGCTGTCTGATCACAGCTTTTTATGATGCTTTACAGCAGGGGTGTCAGATTAATTTGATATCTTCTTTATTTCCTCTTAAGTGGGCTGAACCAGTAAATACATGGTGTATAAACTATAAGCCAGTCACCTCCAACTGAACCTTTATGTTCAGTGCAAAGAAGTTTAACTTTAAAAACTGTCCAGTTCCTTTAAAATTCACATTTTGACCATCCAGTTAAAGTGGCAGTGAACAGACGATCAAATGTTCCACGTGATAAGCTTGGGCTTACATTCTAAGAAATAAAGGAATTTATTCTAAAAACAAAAACTATCAGTGAATTTACAGCAAATTTTCTCTTTATTACTGTGTAAAAAATTGTACTATAGAATTAATTATTGATACTGTTATTCATTTGAAAACTAACAATTAAAAAAAACAATTTTCTTTCTTACTTACCTTTGATATATGATGGATCATCAGTTTACTAATAAAGGACACTTTATCAGTTACACTTTTCTGGTTCTGTCTGGTCTATGTTGACATGATAGCGTCATCGGCTGCTGTAGATTTGTCGGCTACACATCCACGATGACACTCAATCTTCATCATTTTCAACTCAATTCATTGTCATTGTTTCAAATTCATTTTGATCATCAAAACACTTTTTCCTTCATTGTATTTTAAGATTTTCATGTTCTTTTTTAAAATTGTCCACGTAACCAGAAACATAGCAACAGAAAATAAGTGGTTTTGCCACACATGTCGCTGTTTCTATGTGGTTCAAGAACATGCTATAGAAGATGATCTGTTTCTAAAGGACAGTTTAATAAACCCAAACGAGACAACTGTTACTTTTTACTCATAGAAATGGCTCAGAGTCGTGGTGTAATTCGTTTATTTCTCACAGAGTTCATTCATTCTCAGCATTTGCTCTGTAACTTCAAACCCCACTCACACACATTTCACAGAAATAAAAACTTAAAACAGTAATAAATAATTTTGAATGTAACACCTTTCACTAGCATCGATTTGCTGATCCCACTGGTAAGCAGAAACACAATAGAAACGGTGACCACCTGAGCATGAGAGTGAGAACCATTACTGCACTTACTGACTTCTCCTACAACAAACCTGCTGATATCTGATGTATATCTGTCATCCAGTTAAACCCAGCCACAAATGATTAGTCCAGATCATAGAGGACAAACGAAACATTGTGCGTCATGCAGGGAAAATAACCTCTTCAAATAAAAATGAGATGTTTACTTTATACCTCACACTGAATGTCTATACATGTACGATGCTTGACAAATTCATTAGATGGCCTAAAACCCAATTTTTTTAGAAATTTTTAAGAAATTGTTTAAAACTAAAAAAAATTGTTATTTGTAAGGCAAATAACAAACTGAAACTACTAAATAGTCCTTATTCACCAATAATAACCAAACAAACAGAAAAACGTAATAATTTGTACGGCCTCCGTTGGCCTCGATAACGGCTTGCATTCTTACTGGCATTGTTTTTATGTACGTTTCCACAGTCTCCTTTGTTACCGAGCTCCAAATAGTTTCCAGCTGTTCCCAGAGACTTGCTGTGGATAAAACTTTTGTGCAATCTATCTTCATATCCACCAAATCCCAAATTTGTTCAATAGGATTCAAGTCTGGACTCTGATTTGTCCAGTCCATCAGTTCCAGTACTCCAGATTCCTTCTCCTTGGTCAAATACTCTGTGCACAGCTATGAAGTATGTTTGGGGTCACTGTGTTGTTGGTATATGAACTCATGACTAATCAGTTTCAGTCCAGAAAGGATTCCATGACCCACCAAGATGTTGTGGTAGATCTTTATGTTCACGATACTGTCAATTTTCACGAATTTGCCCACGCCGTTTCCAGAAATGGAACCCCAAACCATAATGGAACCTCCACCGTGCTCTACTGTGGGTGCAGTGCATCAAGCATCAAAACCTTCTCCAGATTTTCGGTGATTATTCTGACCAGAGACTTCAAACTCAGACTTATCCGTCCAAAGTACCTTATTCCAGACATCTACAGTCCAGTGTTTGCGCTCCCTGGGTAATCTGAGACGTTTCTGGATGTTTGTGGGCCTCAATAACTGCTTCGTAGCAGCGACTCTCCCCTTTAAGCCCTGTTCATTCAGTCGTCTGCTTATGGTCATTCTGGAGACCTTTTCAGACTCTGCTCTAGAAGCATTTAGCTCTACTTGAAGATCAGCAGTGGTCTTCCTTCTGTCACTGGTACTTAAAATCTTGAGGTGCCGGACATCTGCATCAGTCAGCTTTTGTTTTCTGCCTCTTCCTTGGCGCATTCTGTAAGTACCGGTCTCTGCAACTGACTCCAAAGCGTACTTGACCACGGTGTGAGAACATTTTATGTCTTGTCCTATTCGTCTGAAAGACCATCCGGCATCGTGAAGTACTTTAATGCGGACTCTGTCCTTTTCGGTGAGTTCTCGATCTTTGACCATTTTGAGTCTTCAAACCGAATTCATGTTTTTACACCCAGATTTGAACCGCACACTGGACTTAACGACTCAAACTGAATATTCTGTTTAGTAATGCAAGTAAATAACTGTAATTTGGCACCTTCTATTAAATAAAAATGCTTTGATGTTTTTTCTTTGATGAAACAGAAAAACTGAAGGGCATAAATTTGAAAATTCATGGATAACAATAATTATGTTTTAGCATTAAAATATAATTTTAATTATAGAACGTGCACATACTGGTGGATTAACCATTACAGAAACATAAAAAAGGATTTGGGTGATTACTAATACTGTTAATTTAGGTCAGCTGTACATGTAAGACATAAAGAGAAACTATAAGCTTTCACAGCAACAATCATTCATGCTACAGTCCTCGATATCAGAGAGAAAAGGCGGGGGAAATATCTTCATGCACCTGACGAGCTTCTCCTGAATCGGTGACTGCTGGGCTCTTTCCCCGCTCCATCTGCTCCATCTATCGCCGCTCACCCTGTCTCATATCTGCAGACATCACCGCTTCCCTTCACCTGCAAAGGCGCCGGGCCGTGTAACTGGCGGCAAAAACGAACAGCCACGTTATTGTGTTGGACTGAAGTGTCTTGAAGTGTCTTCTTTCTTCACATCGCTGTGTGTGGTCAGCCGGTGTTTTCTGATGGCTGGAACGTGGCAGTGCACACTATCCATTGTTAAGTGTTAATGCAGCCATTGAAGACTCAGTGGATTTCGATGTGAACCTATAAAGATATGAGAACTCTGTTAGGTAGTGCTAAATAAAAAAAAAGAGAAGTAGGATAGGATTTTTGACCAACTTAGATATTTGGTGATTTTTTTTAAATAGGCTTCCCTAACATTTCCAAAATTTGTCTTGAGTAGTTACTTATATACTTATTTATGCTCTGCCTGACTCTACTCATATCAGCAGGTTCTTGCTCCAAACACCGTGTTGCTGACAGTGAAGTTGCAGAGTGCCCTCTGGTGGACAAACAATGCAAAGTGTGTTTATCCAATCTCTTCTTAGTATTTTCATCTTCATTTATTATTTTGATATCTACTTTTGAACTGCAGTTATATGAAAAACAAAGTTTTCACAGGACTTTATCCCCTTCAGTGAGAAACTAGGTCACCCTTATCGCTTCCACAGGATATAAGTGTGTAAGTAGCAGCTAGGAGCTGACGATCAGCTGCCCTTGATTAACTGATCATCAGCAAGTTTGACCACTGCATGAAAGCACAGCTTAGATTTGCCAAAGACTTCTGAAACAATGTTGTTTGGACAGACGAAACCAAAGTAAAAACCAACCACAGGATATTAGCACAAACACCTCACACCTGCTGTCAAGCAAGGTGGTGGAGGGATGATGATTTGGGCTTGTTTTGCAGCCACAGGACGTGGATGCCTTTAAGTTATTGAGTCGGTTATGAACTCCTCTCTATAAATCTTCTTGAGTCAAATATGACAGCTGTAGCTTGGCCAAAATTGGGTCACGCAACAGGACCCAAAAAGGGTAGCAAATTAGAAGCAATATTTTTAATCTGGAGACAGATGAAATCTCAAGTCCCCGACCAGGATATCTGTTGCCTGCTTCAGATATATATCAGTTACTGGTCAGCCAAGATGTGTGTATCTTGGAAATAATTTAAAATAAATAAAATAAGGAACAAATAAATAATTTTTTTTACAGTTTCTCAATGTATCGCTAACAAAAGGCAATTGTTTTGTTTGCATAATATTAACACATTTGGCAGAGTTGCCCAAAAATAATCAACATAATCCATTAAAGCCATTAATAAGCTAATAGATCTTCATTGAAAGTTTAAGGCACTAAAAATGGAAGCCAATAAAATGATGGTAATAATAAATCGGCACCTCCTTAATTGAGAAAAGTGAGCATTAAAGGCAAGATAAAGGGAGAATTTTCCTTGTATTAGGCAGCTTTAGTTTTAAGTACCTGTAACCCTTAAGCTTTAAATGTAGTTAAAATTGATCGTTTATCCGTCCATTAAGGATAAATCTTTTACAACGTGTCGCTCATTCAGGCAAAAGCAAAGGCAGTAATGAATCCAACATGAGGGGCCTTTGCAATCAGCAGCTGTCTCTGTGCCGTTTAGAGGGTTGATGACCGATTACAGCGGCTGAATGATTACCTGTAATCTCACATTAAACATCATAGAGGCGACGAGGTAGACATAGGGGAATCTGATTCGCAGCCGCCATGCGAGATCAAAAAATATCAACAAAGTCCTCGTCAAGCCTTTCGAAAATATTCCGTACGTCCGACCAGCAGAGCCCGAAAACCGGAGCACCAAATATGACAGACCCGCCATACAGCCCAGTCCGTTGGCTGGTTTCCAGGGTTAGTTTGTCATCTGGTAAGGCGAAGCGATGGCAAAGGTGTCACACTTCATATTTATATCACTCGTCGACACCGAGCCCCATTTTTGTCCTTTTTTTTTTTACATCGATTGTGTTGGAAAATCTGCTCCACCCCGATAGCTGTTTACCGGGGACTCATTACGGTGTGACACACGGAAGTAAGAGTCAATAAAGGGCAACTGGAACCCCGAGGCTAAACTCTCAGGTATATGGTTCTTCATTTTTTTTAAAAACAAAAAAACAAATCACAGCTGAAGTACACACAAAGTGTCATAACTTCATATTCATATTTATCCAGACAGTAGGTAAAAAAAATACAAGACAACACACAAATGCTGTAGTTGCAATGGTTTGTTTTACATTAATAGATTAATATACACAAAGTTTAAATATATAAGATTAAAATTGATTGCAAGTGTGGAAATTATATTTTAGGTCTAATTTTTATTTATGTGAAATTAAGTGAAATGGTCGGACAAAATCATTTAGTTTTTAATTATTTGTATTTGTCCAAAGGCAATAGGTATAGTGCTGATGAGGAAGGAAACCTGGCTTCGAAAAGAAACGTCCTTCATCTGAAGAATAATAACACATATATTACTAAGTAAACATTGAAGTAAAACAAGCAAACAAAAGTGACAAGTGTATGTAAGAAACAAGCCAAATAAATAAACAAATGTGCCACAATCTGAAGCAAGGGTTGGCATTTGTATACTGCCTTTTTTTCATTAGTCTAGCACTCAGAGCAATGTCTGCCTCCATAGATATCGACCAACAGGGTACAAATGGAAATGATCCTACTGCTGACCAAAGACAAAGGAAGAAGACAGACAAGAGGTATTTTTGGAGCCAGTGAGAGAGAAGAAAATGTGGAGGTGAGAATGGGGAGTGTAAAAGTTCCTGCTCTAATAACAAAACTCTTAGTGAATTACAAACAAAAGCAAAAACAAAGAAGCAATTTATGTTTACTTAGAGATCAGTGGGTCTTGTCTACTACATCCAAATACGATTTTGTCATGATAAAAAAAAAGTTGGGGTAATCACGACATAAGAATGATCTTTAGGGTATGGACAGATGTCTGGTATGCTTTGTACCACAGAAAAACATGAAGCTGGAGCAGAGAAACCTTTCAAATCCTCTTTTAAAGCTTAGCCTGAAAGACACAATTGAGGGCAAAAATTCCAAACGCCATAGTCCATAGAAATTGCAGGGATCGTGTAGCTGACGTCAGTTCCTCGTTTAGTGTCATTCCATAAATAGTCCCTCCACTTTTTTTTGTATTATTTGTTTTCCCACACTAAATTAAACAATAAACTTTAAATCTGTTATATTATAATACATTTCATTCAATCCTCTGAAATTCGGCTACTTCCGGTTGATTTTTAGGACGAAAGTCTGTGTGGGCGTACGGACCAGTGCACCGGATGTGCCATCTACTGGTGGTGTTGTAGACTAATTTTTTTTTTTTTTTTTTAAACTCAGGGGTGGTGGCCGCTGTTTTGCTTCATAGCTTCCAGATCAGCCTACGAAAGCATGGGAATGTAGGAAGGGAAATTCACGAGTAAACTCGCCGTAAACTGCTCGATAAAGTTAGTGTAAGTCCCCCCTAAGTTGTTTCGCGTCCCAGGAGCTCGGTTGTAGCAGCACAGGTCGGCGGAGAAAGACGCTCGTTGGGACTTTCCACCAGCGAGCAATCCCGGACAAAGGAAAAGAGACTCTAGCTAACGTTAGCTGGCTCCCGGGCTAACTTAGCATTCCTCTAGCCGCGTAGCAATGCAGGCCATAAAGTGTGTTGTGGTCGGAGACGGGTAAGTTCACCAAACCCAGCCGGGTATTAGTTTATATTAAACACCTGTTTATTTTTCTTTACCTTTTAAAAATGTAATTGTAGCTAAAAGACTGTCATCCGAGTAGCTGACGTTAAAACCCTTTGCAACAGATTTCCGAGCGGGTAAAGTTAGCTGCTAATCTTTTACTACCTGTTAATTTTGCCGACATGGGTACTCGCATTTGACTATTATATTTTTATCTATTTATTTAGACTATAGTTTTCATACATTAGGGTTGGTGGTATGAGTAAGTATTGGTAATACAGGCTGGCCAGTGTGCAAGTGGTTGACTAATCTTTCACTCTTAGGTGAGTCAGACATCACAGGGCAGGTTGTACATCCACAGCTTAAATTCAAGTTTCGCTATTATTACTTAGGAATTTAGCTTTTGTGTGTGTCTGTGTGTCCATCATCTCGCTGCTGTATTCCAGCAAGTCACTGTTAAAGCTACAAACACAGCGCTTTTTCAGCTTCCCAAAATTTAAGGGCTTCCTCAGCAGCAGGGGATTAACACACAAGCTAAGACAGTGACATTAAGATGTGCTAACAATATGTGGGAGGTAAATGCACTCATAACCGCTTGCTCTGGGTGTGGTAGATACTGCAGCAGCAAGACCCATTCAGAGCCCGTGGCTGTGTTGAATCTCTTTATTTTGCTTTGAGTGTAAGGGGAACTGTGCAGTAGACATGAGGGTAGCATGCTGAAGGGAACCAAGAAAGTTTCATATTTGGCAAATGTGCCTCTACCACTGCTCTCATGTGCTTTATCTTGCAAAAAGAAGAACTTAGAAAATCACACAATTCCGTTTTCCCAGAGTATTACACCAGGGATTTTTTTTTGTTGTAAGCAGTGCCGTTTACTGATCTTAACACCATTTGTAGAAATGAAATTGTAATGATTGTTGCTTATGTCAGTATTTGTAAGATCTGAGCCCAGTCACACTTTTTTTTTTTTTTGCCTTCTCTCAATAAATGCTAATCCAACATCTTCTCTCCTACAGAGCTGTGGGTAAGACCTGTCTGCTCATCAGCTACACCACCAATGCCTTTCCTGGAGAGTACATCCCCACAGTGTGAGTATCTGAGACTGCAGCGCAGTGAGTATTTATTTATTTATGTGAGAATAACAGTCAGTAATTGGTCTCCACCCTCCTTACACAATCAATGCATGAGCAAGCATGGCATCTTGTTTTTTAAATATAGTCTTGCAGAGGAGGTTACAATCACAGCATTTAACTGTAACTACACCAGGAATACATGTTACAGGAAGTCAAGAAGAATCCCTGCACCTAATCTGATCCTAGACCAGCTGTGGAAAGTGTTGATCTTTATCGACCTTAACTGTGGCACGAACTGGCTCTGCAGGCAGTTGACAAACAGGCTTTTGGTTCAGCCAGACTTTAAAAGTGAGCAGTTGTTTTTAAGAGAGAGCAGAAATTGCAAAAGGGCACGATTAATCAGGGGATAGGTTGATCACCGCGTATTTCTTGTCCTTTTTTTTTTTTTTTTCTTCTTAGTAGTTATATTTCAACAATTTATATTAAGCCTGAAGGGCTTGGCTCATTTGCACTTCATCACTTCTGTCAGGTTCGACAACTACTCCGCCAATGTTATGGTGGATGGGAAGCCGGTGAACCTGGGTCTTTGGGATACAGCAGGACAAGAAGACTACGACAGACTCCGCCCACTTTCCTACCCACAGACGGTACAACAACCACAACAAAAACATAATCAGACAGTGTTGTGCTACAGTTCGTGTATTATCCTCCATGCATAAACCAGAGTCTGATTTCTGAGAATGAATGAGGAAGTTAAAAGGAAAAAAAAAAAACTGAAAGAAATGCGCACACCTTTGTGAACACAGGATTCCCCTCCATCCCTTCCAGTATTCTTAACAGGAAGTGATTGTTACAGGCTCTGATTGCTTTGTTTTCCGTGTCTTACCAGGATGTGTTTCTTATCTGCTTTTCGCTTGTGAGTCCTGCCTCGTTTGAAAACGTCCGTGCCAAGGTGAGTAATTGCTGTATGTCAGAACGAGTGAAGGCTGGAAAGGTGTCAGCTTATTTATGTTTCATCCATCCAGTTTGTGCTCTTGTAGTCTCTAAGTTTGCTTATTTTTTGCCTGTGCTGGACAAGCCACTGTAGATAGAAAATTAATCAGTAAATTTAAATGAAAAAATGAAGGAAAAAATCTGGAAAGTAGAGATGAAATTAAGAGTTTCAGCTTAATAAAACTTTGTTCATTGTGAAACTTTTGTCCTTGCTTGGCATTATACCCTTCAAGGACATAATTGGTTATATTTAACTCATTTTGAACTGCTGGGGGGAAAAAAGACACAATCCCCCATGTCTAGCAGTTATTTCATTTTGACACACTGTATTAACATGGACCCAAAACCACACAACAAACATAAAGTGGAGTAGGAAAAAGTTTGATTTGTTTTGTTATTTTGTTGTGAAACCCACAAACAACACATTTCTAAAACTACAAACATACAAATTTAGCAAACAACAGCGTAACATATCACACACAAAATGCCACACAAATTATTCGTACCGCCCCCAAAAATAGTTCCTGTTCACCACAAGACGGAGGGGCACATCACAGGCATGACACTTGGAGAGTGTATCACTCCTCCTGTTGTTCAGCTGGAGATGGGGCTGAGTGATATTAGGAAAATCTAATGTCACAATATTTTTTTGGCTATATCACAATACATGATGTATGTGACAATACAGTGGAACCCCGACTTACAAAATTAATTCGTTCCTGAGGGTCTTTCGTAAACCGAAAATTTTGGTAAGTCGAAGCACCCATTGCGGGTTTTGAGTGAGGTGATGCTGAACGATAGGCTATAGGCTAATTGCTAACTAGAACAACAATACGTCGTTCAAGTGGAACAGCGAAGCGCAAGTACAGAAGCCAAGGGGTTGTCACATGATTCGGAAGGCATTGTAGGCTCAGCCAATCAGAGCCAGCAGATTTCGTTACTCGGGCGTTTTGCTGTAACACGGACAGACATATTGCCGTTCAGTGCCTTCGTAACTTGAATTTCGTGAAACGGGGTATTCGTAAGTCGGGGTTCCACTGTATGTTTAAATAACCTTCAGAAACAGATGTTATTTCCAACCGTATAATGCCTAAAATTGCACAAGTATGCTCATTCAAATCAGCAATTCAATATTTTGTTTTCTTTTAATGCAAAAAAATCTGAATGAATTGAAATGTTTTATTTTAATGTTTTGGTTTTTTGTTTTTTTGTTTTTTGTAAACATCAGTTGCACAAACTTTTTTCATAAATG